GCTAGAGCCAAAGTGAAGGGGCCGAATTTGAACGTGGATATGCCTCAGGTAGATGCTGGTCTAGACGGATCAGGTGGCGGGGAACCGCCGTCTGCGGGTATTGATGTGAATGCAAAGGCGGATTTGGGCGGTGATGCCGGTTACAAGATTGGCGGCATTCGCGACATGGGACAGATTCGGGACTGGTCTTTGAAACGAGGAGCCAGGGCGTAACAACCGTTGAAGACGTTCGAAAAACACCACAATATAACACATCATCGAGTCCACTAGCTGCAAACAGTAGCGAGCTAGAACCTCTTACACCAAACACTTCGGTATGGATTCGAAACTACTGGGGGCTGCCGAGTACCGACGATTCGATTAAGCAATATCATTTAAGACGCGAGAAAGTACACTATTTGGCGGGTGTCCTTTGGCATCGTTTGACGAAAGAATATCGTTCCACACTAAAAAGACGTACTAAGTGGGTTCAAGCGTTTCAAGAGCCGAAAGTGCGTAATGTGGCCACTAGAGGTCATTGGAGGATGCGAAGATGGCTAAGCTCGGCCCGTATACATGAGAACGGCGGGCGGCGTCCAAAAAGGGGGCGTTTGAAGAATTTGCTTAGAACATGGCTGCCAGGGGCTGACTAATACAGTAGTCGCCAGTTATTAAGCCCACCTCGGGCCCAGACCAAATTAGGCTGAATAAGCGGCTAGGCCTATTAACCGTGGGCTTAATAACCAGCGACTACTGTAGATGTGAAGAGGGTCTTGATAGCTTAGTTAGACCTGCTTGTGTGCGAACGGCGGGCGGCGTTGTGAAGAGGGAGTTTCGTAAGATTTGCTTAATGGAGGGTAGGCAGTAAACCGGAAGTAGTGAAGCTGATGCTAGTGACAGGAGCGGATACAAAACTATTTTGCACTATTTTGGTTATGTTATTTCGAAGAGCTGAGCGTAGGAAGGTTACAAGAGCCAACGTGGACGGTACGTTGATAATTAGCGGGCGGTGTTATCTTCGGCTGAACAATATTGAAATTCTCCACGTCTATTTCCAGTGACTTACATACGATTGTTCCCTCCTCCAAACACTGTCAGCCTCCCTCCCCCTCTCCTACGTTGGATTCCTTCCCCCGCAATGGTGTCGGCGCCCCGCTGCCTCAAGAGTCAACTGTTTCGACTCGCTGACCTCAGAACCCTTCACCCACTTTCAAATGCACTAAGGCGCGCTTGCAAATAGGCGCGAGCGTCAACCCCCCGCGTGCACGCATGTGCGCGAGGTAGTCGCGGCCGTTGAAGGGCCACTTGAGCCAAAACCGCCGCCATTGCAGGCACGGTATAGGTCTCTGTACACGATACCCCTTCCGGGCCAGTGTTCACATCAATCGGTCTATAGCAAATATTGTGGTGGCCTAAAGACCAAAGTATTCAGGAATGCGACAAACACGATGCAAGTACCACATTTCAACAGCAACCACCCAATCAGCCACAAACGCAGTTGCGTAAGGACTTTTTCTCAGCGTGTTGAGAAGCAGTGCAGTGAACGAGAAGACGAAAATGTCGAAATACATTATCTTCGACAGGTGTTCAGAGAAAATGGCTACCCGCGAAACTTCGTCAACCGGTGCATGCGCAAGCGAAATGGGTGAAAAGTCGCACCGAACCCAAATGTTGGCGAGCGATCCTGTACGTCAAAAACGTCTCTGCGGCCGTCGGCCGTCTCCTCTCACCACTTGGAGTTGGAGTCGCACACAGGCAGGAGGCAACCATAAGACGTCAAATGATGAAACCGAAAGACCCACTGCCAGAGCAAGAGCCATCTGCAGTCGTCTATAGGAGCTGGTGCAGTTGCGGACAAAACAACTACGTCGGGACCGGGTCTCGTCGCATGAGCCGCAACTTGAGAATTAACATCATTTCGCCCACTGCTGCCGAGTGTTAGGCGATTCGCGCCTTGAGAAGTCTTCCAGTTTCTTC